AGATACAGCCTTTAAACAGGTAATTAAGTCTAAATGAGGTCATAAGCATGGACCCTAGTCCAGTATAGCAGGAGTTCCTTTAAGAAGAGATGCCAGAGGCTCATGCATACAGAGAAAAGGTCATGTGAGGACACAGAAGGAAGCCAAAAAGGGAGGTCCCAGAAGAAATCAACCCTGCCAGCACCTTGATCTTGGACTTCCAGCTTCCACAAGTTTGAGAAAATAAATTTCGGTTGTCTAAACCACCCAGTTCGTGGAATTTTATGAAGGTAGTTCTAGCAGACTAATAGGGAGGGAAAGCACAGGGTCAAACATTTTTTACACATTGGCTCGGTGTCATTGGAGGTCACCTGCTGTCCCTGGGCATCTTAGAAGGGCAAGTCCTTTGTATTATTCCTGCTCCTTCAGAATTATGGGCTGCTATCCATTCAATGTTTCTCCAGGTTATTTCAGTTGTGATACATGACTTTTGTAGAAATTGATAGAAAAAGTCTACTGAAAACTCCTTTTTGTCCTCATCTGATCTCAACTAGAAAGGTACTAAAAGATTGTGAAGTGACAGGAGGGCATGAAAATTGCTTGAACCTTCATATGGCCGCCTTCTTCTTCCTTTGGGTTCCATACACGTACTGCTAGCATATTATTTACAGAGGGCAGGGGAAGGAATCAGGGAGACCATTGTTACTAAAGCAAAGACTCAAACGGGAAATGGGAGGGTTTTTTTGCTTTCGGAACAAATCCCTCACCTATAAAATAAGAGGTTTAGATCCATAGTCTCTGATGTTTCTTCCCTGTGCTTTAAAGGAAAGTAATAACTAATGTGTGTTCCTAAGCACCTGAAAATCATCTTACACAGTCCTCAAGACAACTTCACAAGGTACTATTACTGTGCCCATTTTGCAGATGAGGAAACTAAGATACAGAGAGACAGTAATTTGCACAGGGTCACAAAGCAAATCAATGTTAAGGATCAGGCCTGAACCAAGCAGAAGGATTCCAGGGCCTGTACTCAACAGCTGTGTTCACTTCTACCAGGTAGTTTCCCCGAGTGTCCTGATACACAGAACACACAACAGGATGAGTGGCCCCAAACCTGGAAATGATCCAGAGTTTGTGAGCATCTGGCATTGGAACCAAACCAAAATCAATGTTTAAACAACAGTTACCTTCACCCCCAAACTGTCTCATTGTCTGACTGAATTTGAATCAGTGCTATGGAGAATGCTGCTCTGTGGTTTACGATAAACTTTAAAAGTCACCATGCCAGTACTGGCAGCCCAATAAACAGAGAGAAAGGGAGAGAAAGAGAGATAGAGACAGAGAAAGACTTTTTAAAAATGGAGTGTTTGGAGTGTAGAAAAGAGCTTGGTTGCATTTCTAGAGCATCAACCCCACTTAAACCTAGAGACAAGAATTCTGTGATATTTTTTGCAAAGTGTGTTTCCGCTGCCAGAATGCATTGGAAGTCCCCGAAGCGCTTCTTCAGTTCTTTGCTTGGCCAAGCACTTGCTGCAAACTTTCCTCGGAGGTTTACCCAACGGAGTGGGCCTGTAGGAGGAAAAATCGGAGCCCTGGATTTATTGATTTTTTAAATCCAAAGGTTAAAAAAAATAAATAAATAACCCCTCTCTCCATCCATCCTTAGAATGACACTTTCCAGCGAGGTCTAGTTCCCTTTCCTGGCAGATATAATCCTAATTAAAAATAAATTACATGCTGCAGAGAACTTGAAATGGAAAAGATAATCCTATTACATATGAGACTATATCCTGATTTTCTTTCCCGCTAAACTGCGGGAGATATCAGATCAGCCTGAGCCCCCCATTGTCGCCGCTTTGAAAACTTTCCGGGAGCCCTCACCCGTCACGTGACGCCGTGTCACTCTCCGGGTCTGCACGCGAGTCTCACAATGCCGGCATTAGGCTCGGTCACAGCAACCTGGCTTTGCGGAGCCCGCCGCATTTGCATTCCGAGAACACGCCGGCCATTGTGGAGCCGCGTTTGTTCTCAGGACGGCGAGACCGTTGCCGGCGAAGTCGCAAAGGCCGAGAGAAAGGGGCTCCTTGGAGCCTGCCCGGGCCTTTTGGTATGATAACAAGGCGATCCGGGCGTCTTTGGCGAGGCTGGCTCAGCCCCGGGCGGGCGGCCCCCCTTCCCCCGACTCCTCTCCAGCCCCTCCTTCCCCGGCAGTCCCCCCTCGCCCCGCGGCGTCGCCGCGCTGCTGTCCGCCGGCCGGCTCGCCCTACTCGCGTGCCTTCACACCTCCGCCCGGCTCCGGAGGGCCCCGCGCGCCGCCGCAGCCCGGCCGGCGGCTTCCCCGGCCCCGCCGCGCCGGCGCTCCCGGGGCTCCGCGCTCGGGCGCCGCGGCGATCGCGGCCACTCCCGGGCGGCCGGGGCCAGCGGCGGATAAAACGCGTGGGAGCTGGGCTAGCCTCCCGCGGCCCTCCCCCGGCTCCTGGCGATTGCCTGCTCCCCCACTCTCCTTCCCCCCACGCCCCTCCTGGCGCGCCCTCGTTCATTTCAGCCTCGGGAATGAGCTCGCGGGCGCGGAAGCGCTTTGAGTACAAATCTGGCCAAGCCAAAAAATAAAGGAACTTAAACCGCGCGCGGTCGGGCTCCGAGTCCAGCCCAGAACTGCGGGAGGATGCGGGGCCGCAGGGGACGATGGCGGGGGCGCGGGCTCCCAGACCCTCGCGGCCGGGCTCGGCTCGCGCGAACGGCGGGAGACGCCCCTTTCTCCGGGGCTTCCTCCCCAGCGTCCCCGGTCTCCCTCGCCTCCTGCCCCGGCTCCCGCCAGGCTGCCGCGGCGCCGCGCGGGCCAGACCCGGCGTTACGGGAGCGGAAGCGCCGGTGCCGCTGTCCACCAGCCCAGTTCTGAACTGGGATGAGGAGGGAGAACGTTAGCCTAGGAGCGCCAGAAGTCACCAGCGGGCCCCAGGCCGAAGAAGGGGTGTTGCGGGGCTCGGAAGGAGATCAGAACTTTTTTTCCGGCTGCGTGTGCCCGCCCCACCCCACCCCTTAAGGGCAGGGAGAGAGCAAAATATTAAATGACCCTGAGGTGGTGAAAAAAGTGGAAGAGAAGGTCGGGAATTGGGCTCCTGTAGGGAGCGTTGCCCGTTCGCGGTCGCAGAAGCCTGGCCTCATTGCTTTTAGCATCCTCGGGCTGCTAGGTGGAGGAGGTGGGGAAGGGAACCAAGAGGCACGACCTCTCTGAGGAAGCCACCAACTACTCACCGCCCCCCCCCTCCCCAATCTCCTAAGAGCTTTGATGTATAGATGGCTGGGGCTGCATTCTCTGCTCTCTGACAATTCCAAGTACCTCCCTCATCCTCCCCCCCCCCCCCCCCCCCCCCCCCCCCCCCCCTCCCCTGCCCATCCGGCTCCCTGCTTGGTCTCCCTACTCCAGGGGAACTCCTGATCCTCTTTTGAAAATACCCCCAAAACACACTCTCTCGAGTTTGAGGGAAAGGCAAGCGTGGAGAGGAGACTGACAAGGCCGGGATTGTGAAGAACGTTTACTGGATGCAGGCTTCTTATCAAACGCATCATTTAAAATGCTTTCTCTTCTTGTGTGTGGCCTTTGTTTTCACCTCTCCTCCTTCGTGTGTATTTGTGTAGCCTGCTCAATAAAGACCTTCCGCAAGAATCACTAAGAGTGATTAGGCATCTGTCTTGTTCCAGACTAGAGCCCATCTCCCTGGCCTTTAGGGAGGCTACCTGTGAAGGCAGCGCAGCAGCCGGCCATCCTCAGCAGCCGCCCCTCCCAGTTTGGCAATGCCGAAGTTCCACACTTTCGTAGGCAGATGGTTCAGTTCCCCCAGGTTCGTGCCAGGTTTCAACGTCACGCTGTGATTTTGTTCTTCTGGACCGGGACGAGTGTTGCTTCCCAGAGCGGCCCTATTAGAACAGAAAGAAAATCCTCTAAATAGGCGGAACAAGGCATCAGGAGGGAAAGTTCTCTAAATGCACTTTAATACGAGCTGGGTATTGTGTGGAATTCAGCGCCCATCACCGTTTAGCCGGAGAGTTATGGCAGTGATTGGGGATGAATAGAGGAACATAATGGATACATGTGGCGTTTGCTCATTATATTCAAGTTAGCCCAACTCCGCTGTGGAAACTGTTCAACTTTCTCTCCCCTTAGCTTGTCACAGTGAAATAATACAGACATCGGGGCCTCCAATGGGATCGCCTGCCACGCCATTCTATTTCCACTGCTAACGAGAGCTTCATAAGCCTTTGATACAGTCTGATCTTTGAAACCTTTCCAAATCTCCTCAAGCTTATGCTAAATCCTATTTGGAACTTTTTTTTTCCGTGGCCTGCTAGCGCCCAAGGCTTAAGAAAGCCATTTGGACAGTGACATGCATACTAACGTACCGCAGGGCTCTTTTCTGAAAGGGAAGTGGCAGCTCTGATCACCGGGGCTCACACGAGCAAAACACAATTGCGTACACAAATTTGAATAAAATCAATTTTCCCTTATCCTTTAGGCTTCTTAATCGAGAGGCTATTCCGGGCGCCGTAGGAAGCTGAGAGAGGAGGGCAGAGCCTCGCGCCTAGAGGAAGGCTGTGGGTAGGAGCTGCAAGAGTTTGGAAGCCTCAGCGGTGCAAAATGCAAAGTGGGGGGTAGGGGATTCCGGAACGCCGAAGAGAAACCCCAGAGTGCTCACACTTAGCTCTAGCCACCGGCGCGGGGGAGGGGAAGGGGAGGCCATTAACAAAACCCTTCAATCCTTTTACTCCCGGAGCCCTGTGCCAACTCCTTTACGTGCAGGGTGCTGAGAAGAAGAGGGGGGAAGGCAAAAGGAGTCAAAGAAACAAAAGAAAGATTCCCTGGTTTTCCTTTCTTATTTTCCCCCCTAAGCCTTTTCCACATTAAAGGGATTGTCAGAGGCGGGCGGGGGATCGGCGCGAGGGCGAGGCGGCCATTGGCTGCCCGGTTCGAGCGATTAGCATATCGGCGGCTATAAAGGCGAAGGCGGCGCGCGGCGGCGCAGCTTCTGCGAGAAGGGAGGGAGAGGCGCAGGCCGGGTGAGGGCGGGTCCGCGCGTCCTCGCAGCCCGCCAGAGCCGCGGAACTGCAGCCCGCAGACTTCTCCCGCGCAGGGCTCGCAAAAGCTTGATTCCGGGAACCTGGGACTCACGCCCGGCCCTGCAAGCCGGAGAGGACTCTCTTCCTTGGCCTTTCGGCCGGAGACATGAGTCCCGTGAGGCGTTGGGGCAGCCCCTGCCTCTTGCCCTTGCAGCTCTTCAGCCTCTGCTGGGTGCTGTCAGTGGCCCAGAGCAAGACAGTCCGATACAGCACCTTCGAGGAAGATGCCCCCGGCACGGTCATCGGGACCCTGGCCGAGGACCTGCATATGAAAGTGTCCGGAGACACGAGCTTCCGCCTGATGAAGCAGTTCAACAGCTCTCTGCTCCGGGTGCGCGAGGGCGACGGGCAGCTGACCGTCGGGGACGCCGGCCTGGACCGCGAGCGACTGTGCGGCCAGGCCCCACAGTGCGTGCTGGCCTTCGATGTGGTCAGCTTCTCGCAGGAGCAGTTCCGGCTGGTGCACGTGGAGGTGGAGGTGAGGGACGTGAACGACCACGCGCCGCGCTTTCCCCGGGCCCAGATCCCCGTGGAGGTGTCCGAGGGTGCGGCCGTGGGCACGCGCATCCCCCTGGAGGTGCCAGTGGACGAGGACGTGGGTGCCAACGGGCTGCAGAGCGTGCGCCTGGCCGAGCCGCACAGCCCCTTCCGCGTGGAGCTGCAGACGCGCGCGGACGGCGCTCAGTGCGCGGACCTGGTGCTGCTGCAGGAGCTGGACCGCGAGAGCCAGGCCGCCTACAGCCTGGAGCTGGTGGCCCAGGACGGCGGCCGCCCGCCGCGCTCCGCCACGGCCGCCCTCAGCGTGCGCGTGCTGGACGCCAACGACCACAGCCCGGCCTTCCCGCAGGGCGCCGTGGCCGAAGTGGAGCTGGCGGAGGACGCGCCCGTGGGCTCACTGCTCCTCGATTTGGACGCGGCCGACCCCGACGAGGGCCCCAACGGCGACGTGGTGTTCGCGTTCGGTGCCCGCACCCCGCCCGAGGCGCGCCGCCTCTTTCGGCTGGACCCGCGGTCGGGCCGCCTCACCCTGGCCGGGCCCGTGGACTACGAGCGACAGGACACCTACGAGCTGGACGTGCGGGCGCAGGACCGCGGCCCCGGACCCCGCGCCGCCACCTGCAAGGTCATCGTGCGCATCCGCGACGTCAATGACAACGCACCCGACATCACCATCACTCCTCTGGCCGCCCCGGGCGCACCGGCCGCCTCCCCCTTCGCCGCTGCTGCCGCCGCCGCCGCGCTCGGGGGGACGGACACGACCGCGTCGACTGGACCCGGGACGCCCGAGGCCGGAGTCGCCTCGCTGGTGCCGGAGGGGGCGGCACGAGAGAGCCTGGTGGCTCTGGTCAGCACCTCGGACAGGGACTCGGGCGCCAACGGGCAGGTGCGCTGCGCCCTCTACGGGCACGAGCACTTCCGACTGCAGCCGGCCTACGCGGGCAGCTACCTGGTGGTGACGGCGGCGTCGCTGGACCGCGAGCGCATCGCCGAGTACAACCTGACACTGGTGGCCGAGGACCGCGGCGC